TAGGCATCAGTCCGGTGAGCACGGGACGGGGTTTAGGGGCGGGGGCGGGAGTGGGTGCGGGTGGGAGCAAGGGGCGCTCCGCGACCCCACGGAGCCTCTCCCGCCGCCGCAGCTGCCGCCTGCGTAGATGTTGGATGATGAAGCCCAGGACCTCCCTAGAGAGAGATGGTCGACACCACCCTTCGACCCGCGCTTCCCCAACCAGAACCAGACCCGTAACTGCTACCAGAACTTCCTAGGTGAGACCTAGGTGGACCAGGTCGGGGGAGCAGAGGCAGCGACCGGGGAGACTAGAAGAAGGGGCTACCCTCCTGCCAAGGCTCGCGGGGACCGTTGGCCTGGAGCATGACATGTCGTGGCCCCGCCCCGCCGGCCCCGCCCGCGCCGCGCAGACTATCACCGCTGCCGGAAGAGAGCGAGCCGCCGCGGGAAGAGCATGCAGCCCTGCGAGTATTATTTCCGCGTGTACCGCTCGCTGTGCCCCGCCAGCGGGGTGAGCGGGCAGGCCGGGCGCCGGGCGGGAGCGAGGGAGGGCTGGGGCTGAGCTGGGCCGGCGCCCGCTCCCTGCCTCCTGCCACCCAGGTGCGGCGCTGGAACGAGCAGATCCGGGAAGGGACCTTCGCAGGCAAAATCTGAGCGCCAGCGCGGGGTTAGCCGCAGTGACCCCCGTCTCATCTCGAGACCCGGCCTTGGTTACCCCCTCCATCCCGCCCCCACTCTCTAAGGCACAAATAAATGTCGCTGGCGCTTCTTGTCGGTCCTCGGCCTGTGCGCAGAGCGAGTGTGAGGGCCACCCCGCTTTTTCTGGTGAGTGGGCAGGGGGAGGGCAGCTTCACCAGGTACAGTGAGGGAGGGTAGTCAGGGTGTAACGGGAACAAGGACGGGAGGCTCCTGTCCCCTCCTCCGTTCCAGCAGGTTGCGGTCTCATCTTGGCAGCTGCCTCTAGCCCAGAGCCCCCAAACCCCAGTGGTCGCCCACCCACATGGCTCCAGCTTTCTGTCACCTAAGTCTTTCCTGCCATCCCAGGGCTGGGCCTCCTCCCCTCCGACAGCCCCTGTCCCACAGTCTTCCCTCCCTCCCTCCTGCCCACCTTATCACTTTCCGGCTTGTCCATCACACCCCACCTGCTTCGTTCCCCAACATCACCGTCCCTATCTCCGAGCTCGCTTTCTCCCGGCAGGGTCCCTGGCTGCCCACTCCATCCTTTCAGCATCCCCCCCACAGCCCCCTCTGTTCTCCCGCTGTGGGCCTGCCCCCCCCCCCCACCCCCCCCGCCCCCCCCCCCCCCCCCCTGTCCCTGTCCCTGCAGAGCTGGCCACAGTGGTGCGACGCTTCTCCCAGACGGGCATCCAGGACTTCCTGACGCTGACCCTGACGGAGCGCACCGGCCTGCTATACGGGGGGGCCC